AAGAAAAACTTTAATATAAGTTTAACATGACAGCAAATGTACAACGTTTCGACAAGGTGATGATGTCGAAACGTTGTACATTTGCTGTCATGTTAAACTTATATTAAAGTTTTTCTTCATTACCCATTTAAGCCGTCTCCAGCCATTATTATACGTGTCACTGAGTTATACCAGTTTTGTGGTACTCAACTCCGACCCAGTAACAACCGACAAGGACAAGAAATCACAAAACTAGACTAGAACTTGCATTAAAAAAGTCCAACAATATAAAAAATCCTGATCACAAAATAAAGGTTCGTATTGATCGACGAGTTTTATTTAAGTTCTTATAATATGTAAAGTTAGATGATATTTATTAAAAACAATAAATAAAATATTGAACAGGATTAACCATTTATGGATTTTATAACGATGTTAGAAGGTGTTCTCGATTTTACATGGGAACGTTTCTCTCATAAGCATGTTAGCTGAAGAAACATTTCATTGAATCATTAAAGTGAATATGAGACGTGAAAAGTTACAAGATTTGTCGGATAAGTTCTAGGATGGCTAACGAATGGTACAACTAGTGGATAGCAATCAACATTGTATGATATATGAAAATAGAAAAGACTAAGTTAAAAAAAAATGAAGCTACAATAAATGCGTACAGTTGTTTTAATGATAGTGTATTTCTGCATGTAAATAAAGAGGCTCTTTCATAATATTCTAAAATTGCATTATGTAAATATAACTTACAAAATGAATATATCGTTACTCTTATACTTTTCAAAAATGTTAGTGATGTAAAGATTTGCATGAACAGTATGAACTAGGCTAAATCCTCCTTTAGGCAGTCACTTCTGATAAGGACTAATGGAAGTGTATTTGTCTCTATGAGGCCAACACACACTTAAATTACTATTTCATGACGTTGTAGAAACATTTATGCTGAAACCTTAGGCCTCATTTTTTGAATAACAAGATTGACCTCTTAACGTAAGTGACGTGAAATTCTGGGAAGTCTTTTAAACTTTAATTAGATGTAGTTTTACGCGAATTCATTTCTTTTTCAGAAACACTTTTGTCTTCAAAGAATTCTCATATGCTCATGTTAGTGTTCCATGTAATTGTAGTTTGTTCTTATTTGCTGTACGTATAGAAAAATCGACCAGAAGTTAAGAACGCAGCAGAAACTGTGTGTTGTAATTACTTTCACACGCCATCCTTGCTCGTCAATAAAGTGTTTATGTTTCAAAGTGAAACAACTGTGTCGGTGTATTTTCTTTTGGTTGAGTCTGACTTATTCTATTTACAAAGTCTTGAAGAATTTTGTATATCCTTACCTGTCGGTTTCAGTTTTACATGAAATACCACAGAGTCACCCTAAGTAAAACTTCAGAATATATTCTACAAGTAATCTCTGTGATCGTTATGATAATGGTTTTTGTCTAGAATTTAGCTTCCAGTTATTAACAAATTGTGATTACATTATAGTAAGGTAGAATTAATATTAAAATTGTTAACTTGTGTAGGATTAGATGGTTTGGATTTGTTAGAATTGTCAAATCTTAATTAAATTTAATACATTGTTAAGCATTCACTGAAAATAAACTTTTATGATTTAATCAAATCCAATTCAGTCGGATTATAAGTCAATGCGTTTCCATGTGTATTATTACCCAACTCACACTTCTCAATTTATCAACTAAAATGTTTATCTCCTACTATTAACCGTGAACTGTTATCACCTCACGTCCGATGGTAAGCCCATCGTTCGGAGCTATATCTTCACAATTTATAAAGCTTGTTGAATCAATTTTTTATATCGGAGATTTATTGGAATGAAGATATTAGAGCAAGCCTACCATATAAATGGCTTATAGCCTGCCTTGGTAACAGCAAACTAGGATCACATTCCTCATAGAATAGTTGGTTATACTAGGAAGACGACGTTTGATCAGCACAAGCAAACACCTGCAAGTTCGTAGAAATGCAGGTGAATCCTCTATTAAATCAAATTTTCCCAAATAGAATTATTTCTTCTCTAGTTTGAGGGGAAATCCCTCAACATATATTTACATAGTTAGTATTATGATTAAATAATCATTTTTCTTTTTTATCGCCACTATTCTGGTTGTTTTATTTTTGTGTTTCTTAGGAACACAAAAGACATTAGTATCTTGCTAGAATACTTAGTGACCAAGATAAAAATTGTATTGTAACGACACTAAAAAATTTGTATACACTGACAAGTATGAGTGCCATATTTTGTAATGTTCAGAGAATTTTATACTGAATCTAGTAGACAATGGGATTGCCAGTGTAATTATACATTCACGCAAGGAAGATTTTTTTAATCAAAAGTTACTAATTTTTTTACTGTTTTTTTTTCTAATTGCTATTATTTTTCACAAAATCAATGCAAATAATTAATTTAAGTAATGTCGTTGATGACCAGTTTCTGTTGATATTTTCTAGAAAAACCGTTTAAAACTGTGTGTGGATGAAAATAATGAAACGTACGCGCTACATAGTTATCGTGGATACAATTAATAAATTTAATTAATTTTTCCAGGATTATAACTTTTAAAAATTACCTCTGTCATGAAACAGTAAACAGATTAAATAATAGCAGTAAGAATGACAATGAAATCGATTAAAAATGATACAGCACCAGGCAGTACTACATGCTTTCCACTTCTTATGGTTTAAATTTATGTTCGCTTAATTTCTTTTATTTTTCAATATAATTCCTAAAATTGGAACATAGCATTGCTCAAGAGGGCTAATTGGGTCAAGTGGATATTAGGCACCTTTATTGTCTGATTCTCTTACAGAAATAACAACGTGCTTTTTAATTAACACGACATGCCATTCTCATTAACAAATCGAGTTGCCCGTTTCTTCGCAGCCCGTTGGCCAACTGATTTATCAGGCACCAATCACTATTTTATTATGTGAGAAACTCGAGGGTTTATTGTCATATTTAAAACAGAGTTGAGACCTGAAAGAGCATAATTCTTCTAGATTTTGAACAGATTTTTATGTAGATATACACAGAATTTTCATATATTTTACAAAGATTTTAGCAATCTTTCACTAAATTTTCACGCAATGTTTCTGTAACTTCCACTTCTACGTTCTCACTTTCGATTGACGGAAACATTTTTGTATGTTTGTGTGTGTGTATGTGTATATATATATATATATAGAGAGAGAGAGAGTTTTACAAATTCCCTATTAACTTTAAAGTTAACTTGCCTTTCCGTTTGTGCTGGCATCATTTGGCTTTTGCCTATAATTTAGTTAAGTTTATGCTAGCCTAAGTTACAAGGAGAAGCACACGCACTGCAAGACTCTATTATTTAATGAAGTCTTCGTTGCTCTTACTAGTTTCACACCTTTTTGTTTTTAATACATATATGAACACATAATCACATGCTCTTTTTTTGTTTTTTGTTTTCTCTAAACTGTCAAAATTTCAATTAAAGGTTGGTTCCTTGAGTCAATCTGCATGCCCTGTCTTATTCTTTGTGGCCCATCTGTCACACCCGCATATGTGATCTTCAACCGACTGTTTTTTTCGGGCCTGGACTTTTCTGCTTTGCCGGAAATCCTTAAGATACCATAAAGATAAACATGGTCTTCAGACTTTATACGTATTCCTTTTTAAAATAGGCAAAAAATTAGATTTAGAACTAAATGTTTTATTGACAAATATTCTAGGTAACTAATGACCGACAGTTAAAATATTCTAATACTAATATGTAGGCTGGATGAATTATGAATAACATCAGATCATCGTATCACTTTTTCTTTGTTTTTGTCGCCAAACGCAAACGTACAACTAATTTCTATACTTCATCTACCGTAAATGACCTCTG